TTTTGTTGATATATTACCACCACTTAGATGCTACGATTTTTTTTCGTGCTTATTTTACAAAGAACAAAAATGTACAAACTCTGATTCATAAAGGTTTTCGAGTTTTTATATGTGAATCATGTTTTAACATAGGAATTACTTATGTTCGGGTACTTATAAAGCAACTCAAAGCATTGGATTTTTAAAAAATGTTATATTTTAAGTTTAAATTTGATATTTTGTGTTTTTTGTAAAAGAAAAAATAAAATAAACTTTGATTCATCAAAAATTTTGAATTTTTATATGTGAGTTACATTTTAACATAGGAATAGCCTATGTTCGGATCCTTATACCGCAACTCAAAGCATTGGATTTAAAAAAAAACGTTACTTTTTTTCGTTAAATTATATATAAATCAATTTCTTTCTTGTATTAATTTATTGTTTATATTATTATCTTAAACTTTCATCCCTTAAAAACCCAAAAACCACCCTTCAATGAAAAATGAAAAATGGTGTTGAATTCCTTGAGTAAATGCAGCCTGCCACATTCTACCATTAACCCGCACACCGCAAAATGCTCTTTTTACCGCGACGCACAAAGGACTCCCAACCCCAACCCCAACACTCTTTTCTCCCCTTACTATGAGTCCCGTTGCAAGATGTGCGGCATGACAACGCCAAAAGGTGAAAAGAGGTAGAAAGCGCCGAGACGTAGAAAAACGCAAACACTCCGAAAGCTCCCAAACACTCTTCGGTTGTTTATTGGTCTGCGAGCAGCTGGATCTGGACGATGCTCTTTTATTGAAGGTGTATATTGTCGGATATCGCAGGATATCATAGACGAGTGCAGAGGAGCGCTCTCGCTATTGGGAAAGAAAACGTAAACCCGCACTTGCACGAAAAACACAAACAAATAAAACAGCTCGTAGCAAGCGCAGGAGCAAAGTGAAAAGGACTATGATTTATTTGCATGCCAAACCGTGTGCTATCATATCAATAGGAGGGTTTTTAGTGGAAATAATATTTTTGGGAAAATTCAGGGGAAAAACACATAAATAAAGAAATATATGGAAGTAAACAAGGTTTTATGTATTGCAAATTCAAAATATTTTGCATTCAAACGTATTTTTTAAAATTGCGTGTTTAAAATGACATTTTACGCATTGCAAAAGAGAAATTTAACAAAATTTTGCAAAAATATTTGTATTTTTTCCCTGGATCTTAAAAATAGTACTTTACGCACTCTAAAACACCAAAACTCCCAAAAAATCTTATAATTATATAAATCACATTTTAATCCCCTACCCCCTTTCATCCCCTTTTCACTTCTAATCAAAAGTAATCAAAACTTTGCAGGTTAACTTGTAAGTGCCCAAGTTTTCTTTCAATAAGCGCGCCATAAACTCGATTGTGTTCATTATGAGTGCATGAAAGCAATCGTATGAGTGCCCGACATTGCATTGGGGGGCTGCTCGTTCATTTCATTCATTTAAGTCGTCGCCCTCAACAAGTGCGCCGAGAAACTTCGCGCAGCCGACAATAGTGGCGCGGGCGCGCGCGCGAGGACACGCTCATAAATGTTACCCCCTTTTCCACAGCACGTGGGTGGGTCTGCGGGGGTGGTTGAAATTCTAAGGAAACCACTCTGACGTCGGGCAAACTCTACTTCAGGCGTCGAAACTCACGATCTGGCTCATTGTCCTGTTTGAACCACACCAGTGCTTAGTGCTTAGTCCTTGAAAGGGATGATGGCCACAAATCGCACACGTCGTAAGGGTTGTAGATACTCTTATCATAATATTATCACTTTGTATAATATTAATGAATTATAAATATTGAGATTTAATTTTTAGAAATTTAATGTTTTTTCTTATTTTTTTGAAATTTTGCTAAAATTATTTAAAAAAAAAACATTTTTTGTTATTTTTAGGTATTTATATATTTTTTTGCAAGTATTAACACCTAAGGTTTGTGAATTTGTTAAATTTTACAAAAAATAAAAATATAGAAACCTTGATTCAAAATATTTTCATTTTTTAGCTGTAAATCATGTTTTATCATAGGAATTACCCATGTTCGGATACTTATACCGCAACTCCAACATGGGATTTTTTGAAATGTTATATTATTGGTACATATTTGATTTTTGTTGTGCTTATTTTCCAAAACACAAATGGATTTAGGTTTGAATGATAATAATTATGATTGAATTATGATTAAAATTTTATGTTTATTTTTTTTGCAAATTTATTTGTTTTAAATCAATTTTCTATGTTATTTTTAGTTGTTTATATGTTTTTTCCTAGTATTAACACATGAGGGCTGTGAATTTGGTAAATTTTTGAAATGTTTATCTCTTTATACGTTTGTATCCGCCGCGTGGGTGTATTATACGGGTCGACAATGAAAAAAGAAGTGAAATGTGAAAAAATTTTGCGTGCGGCGTTTGCTCGGCACTCGATAAATAAATTTTTGCCGCTCTCGCAAACATGGGGGCTTTATCTCTGCGCCGCGTTCAACATTTCAACCGTCCCGGTTGCAAATGCAGAGCGTGATAACCAAATTTTCATAAATATCATAAACAACTTTGATTTACGTTTTAATTTGCGCGCTTTTTTTAAACTCCATTTAACGAAACAATTTTTATAGTTATGCTAAACTAAAAATGTGAAACTACTGTTAAACGGTTGGAAATTTTGTAGAAATTTGTATAAATTGAATGTTTTATAAGCTGGAGCAAAGTGGAAGCGGCGAGCGACGCGCAAAGTGTTCGTAATTAACACTCAGTTATTTAATAAAGAACCAACTTGCCGAGTGGGAATTAACCGGGACCCAAATTACATTTAACGCTAACCAAACTCGTAATTTGTAACTTGAACACTTAAAAAATCAAATAAAAAAATTTAAAAAGCATGTAATTTAATAATTTTCGTGTAATATTTTTGTACAAATGAAAAATATTAAAAAAATTTGAAAAAAAAATTTTTGTAAAAAAAAAATTTTCATTGTGTCGATTGTTAATATTGCAAATATTGTTCCATTTGGTTTTTCTTTATCCCATTCGCAAAGCAATAATTTACGAGATATCGCCTCGGTTGCGACCGCATCGCAAAATGGTAAATTTCCAAATATCACTTTGCGATTCCGGTTTTCGACGCTCTAATCGTGATTTATAATTCGGCATCCGCCGCTCCTTTTGCGGTCCTCGCGCCCTTTTCCCCACCACGCGCACAACACGTCTTCGATTGCCAAAATGCAAACGTGCTGGGCGGCACGCTTTGTTTTCCCAACTTCGGCGCGGGCTTTAATTGCTTTAATATAAAGTTATCTTCGTGTATTTTGCCCTCGAAACCTCCGACCACTGCGCGTCTAGCCAGTAACTCATCCACTGTGGGTGGTGGTGGTGGAAAGTTGCAAAGAGAAGGGAAACGTTTTCGATAAACGAAATGTATTGTGCTGCACGTGCACGCCGGAGCAACTTTGGCAATATATCATTGGTATGATGTTCGAAGCGCTCGGATTCGATTGTAAATTATGCTTATTCAATTCGCGTATTCTTATCGCTCCCCCGCTGAAGACCTTTACTGCGCGGTGCAAGAAGGATGTGAAACAAGAACGGCAATCAACATGAAGAATACTCGCTTATAACTTTAGCTATTAATTATTTTAGAGTGTTGCAATTGATATTTACATCGTCAAATCAATCAAAATTTTTTTGCGTTTTTTTTTCTTAAAAATTAAAAAAAAAATTTAATTTTAGGTTTGGTGAGTTATTTAATTAAAACCCGTCGATTTGCACCCTACAATTGTGTCGTCCTGACTGTTTCCACCCTTTTTCGTGGCTGGTGTTTCTACTTAAGTCAGAATTTGGAGAAAAGCTGCGAGATGGAGGCGTTTAAATGTGTTTTACGAAACGTTTAGAGGGCTGGCGCATCCACCAGGGAGTACTTTGGATAATTAAATCATTTCGGTGGCTTCTGGCAAAAGGGTGAAATTAATTTTGCTTCTTTGGGTGTTAATTACACGGGTTTAAGATAAAAATTGTTTTCAATTCTTCTTCAAAAACTTTTGAAAGGTGAATTTTAAAAATGTTTAAAAATAGTAATTTTGGAGATAGATTAAAAATTTTGCGATCGTTTTATAGATAATTTAAAGTACTAAATACTAATTATAAAAATAATTAAATATAAATTTTAGTAGTGAGGTTATATGTAATTAAATAACAAAAATGCAACAAGAAAAAAGAAAAAATTGCATAAAAGTCAAATTTGAGAGAAAATTATATTAAAAATCTTTAGTTAAAAATTTAAATAACATAAATAATTTAATTTATAATAAATCAGTTTTTGTTTGAACCTTTTATCTTTAATAGAATTGACAAAAATCAAATTTTCCCAAAAAATTCAATTTTTAATAAATTAAATCATCACATTTTATTAATTCCAAATTCCTAATAAAACCCTTTTGATTCCCATCAATTTATTAACCGTAAAATTAAATTTCGTCGATAATAACTATCTGTATTGTAAGGCAATCAATCAATTTACAAAAATTTCTGATTTTCCGATTCCTCCTCCGCTTTATTTTTCTGCGTTCGGGCAGAAATCAATTTGTTGAGTTCCTACCTCATACCCACCCCATCGCCTACTTAATGTTGCTTTTCTATTTATATCCCCCTGCCCGCACGAGGATTTTCGCAAGGAGCGCGCCGAGCATCAATAGAAGGAAATTGATTCGGACGTTAAGTAACCAGGGCGTGTGATCTAGTTAGTAGATAACTTGATAACACGTAAGCGCGCACGTAATGTAACACACTTTCCCGTTCTACCCCCAAACACCCCCATCCCCCGCATCGTCTATTTCTTTGCGTTTGGAGCGTCCACTCCCATCGTTTCGCCGCGTCTAATGTAAACTTCCTTTTTTATTCGTGCTTCCCTCTTTTTCGTCCGTGCCACGACCATGATTTGCAGCGGGTGGAATGTTGGCACACACACATACACATTTACACTTTCTACTCACCCTTATATTGGACTTTATTAAAGGTGCTCGTGATGATGCGCAGCTCGGGGTTGGGCGTATCGCCGATCTGGAAAACGCACGAAGCGACACGAATTCATTAAGTTTATTCGTTTTATGAGCAAAGCGAATGAAATTTACATGCGTTATAAAAACAGAAATAGACTGAAATCCAACCACTAGGTAAATTCACTCTTTTTTTTCCGCTTTCTCAGGCGTAGTTTAGTTTATTTTTGTTTTCTTTTAGTTTACCGATTCTCAGGTTGTTTTTCGATTGAAAAATGCGGCGCACAGCGCGGACTTTTAACGTGTTTGCGGAGCGACTTGGAAAAACAAGGAAATTGCTTCCATTGAACTGGTTTTTCTCGGCGTGCCGGGGGTAATTTGACAAATTGACATGATCATTAATCAATAATCAAATGATGTTTGTATTATTCTTGTAATTTTATTTTTGAAACTTTAAAATAAACAATATTTTCAAATTTATCGCCGTAATAAAATCGTTTTAATTGACAGACAATAATAAACTATTTATGAGCGTTATAAAAATATAAAATATAAAATACTGCGTGTAGAATTTAATACTCTATCGGACCGTTTTTACAAGATGTCAATCCGGCTATTATTTCCAGAGTTATTGTGCAAAACGCAAAGAAATTCTAAATATCACGGCGCGCCGTTTCCTTAACGTGTGAAATATTAGCCTTCAGTCGAGGCTGGCCTTCTTCAAAGTGTTTGTCGACACATGCCGCCCCCTCACGTATGCGCATAACAATAAAAGTCAGCGCGTTGAAACTGTGAAACTGCGAAATTTATTAAAGTGTCGCGCGGAATTTCTGAAATCGCACAACGATGGGTCAAGCGTCGGCATGTCCAAAGGGGTAGCCACCTCCCCAAACCCTTCTCAGAGGGTATGAGGGGTTTTGTCGAGTCGGCGTCCGGCTGGGATATTTCCAAGCGCCGGCTGTCGACAAGTGCATCTGTTCGTCCTGCAGGACGATCTCGTTGCATAAACTACTCTAAGAGCGCAAATAAACGCTGAATGTCACTAAATGCCGGGGCAATAAAACGCCCGGCGCGTCCACCACGCGCCTCGCATCCTTTTCCGATTTCCACACAATGTGTGTGTTTGCTTTCTCTGTCGCCTGTCCCGACGACCCGAGCGGAAGCGTTCTGGACGCGGCTGGACGCGCCGAAGCAAATAAACATTCGCGGAACGCATATTTCGCACGTTTCGCTTTGTTTTTTTTTTGTTTGCCCGGCAGTTGTATTATTTTTTTTTGCGTTTGTGTCATGCGGCGTGTACTTGTGCTTCAAGCCGGGTTTTATTTTATCGCATACATATAATTTTAATAAACCTCGGCGCACGCACTCCACTCGGCGTTGTACAGCTGGAGCGTCATTAACTTTCGGGCGATGAAAAATGCACGCGCGCGCGTCGGAGTGATAAAACGAATAAAATAAAATATTATTGCGTGGATTACGCGACGAGATTGTGTGCTTACCTGCACCATTAAGGAGATTGCAACGATGCCTTGCGCTTTGTGCTGGGCCTCCGACATGTTGTGGTATAATTCTTTATTGAATCCATAAAGTTGTATCTGGAATCAAACAAAATTTTTATTTAATTGCAAGTATCTTGGGAAGTATAAGACTTAGAATAAAAATAATTGCAGATTCCTGATCCTGGAATGTTATTGTAAAAGATTTGGTAATAAAATAAAAAAAAATTGATTAAAAAATTGAAAAACAATCAATTTTCTCTTTTTTCTTTCAAAAAAAGTCAAGAAAAAATAAAATTTTGCACGTTTTTCTATTAAAAATCGATCAGAAATTAAGGATAAAATATCCTTCGTATTTTAAAAATCTAATTTTAGGTGTTTTTAGTTTAAAAAGCTTTTATTTGAACCCAAAAATTGTTTTATAAAAGAAAAAGTGATTTAATTTAAGAAAAAAAATTGATAAATTGCAAATTTTTAGCAATTATTCAGTTATTATTTGATATTACATGACTTAATTCATAAACCTAAATAATTCTCTTTAATATAACAAAATTTATTCCTAAATACATTCCGTAATTTAAAAATTATCACCAAAAATTAACGTTATGTTGTCCTGGGTGTTAAAGGAAACTAATATCGGTTTTAGTGACCACATTTAATGCCTCCCCCGGCTAACGCCTGCTTGCAAAGGAATTAAAAAGGCAATTGCGACCGCCGTTATAATCCCACCCCCGCCAACACGGCGGGCATTTCCGCGTCGGCCGTGCTCGTTTTTCGCCCCCGCGACAAAGTGCGGTTTAAAATGCGGCGCGCATCGACGGCCTAAGACATTATACGCGCCCAGCGCCGTCTAATCTCCTCTAGGCGGCGTGGGCGGCGGACGACCTTTATCTAATCCGCGGGCACAATTTCGCGTTAAGTGCCACGTTAAAGCCGGCCCATTAACGGACAGCGCCGGCGTCTTGGACGCGACGCGCCGCGCGACGCCGCATTAACCGAGATTTAAGTGCGTCATATATTCTACACTTTAATAAATTTAAGTCGTTTATGTGTACGCGCCGCACGCTAACAGCCTCGTCTAGTTAAGTTATAAAAAGTTTCGAGCATGTTCCGCCAAGATCATAAACATTTTGATTATGCGCTATTGCGCATAAACGCACAGTTATGTGTGACCTAAAAAGCGCAGTCGTGATAAAACGTGCAACAAATTAAAAATAAACTTTCCGGAAAATAAAACGAAAGTGTATTGATTGTGTATCGAGAGTGTTGATTGAGTTTTCATGTACTTTTAAAATAATTTTCGAGACGCGGAAATTTTCAATTGCAATTAAGCACTCGAAAGCTCAAATCGAACCTGTCCAAACTTCACTGATGATTTTCCAAACAAACAGGCGCTATCGATTACTCATAAATCAAATTTCTTACTTCCTCAAGAGAGGAGCGCGTTTAATGTATATTGACAGCTTAAAAATAACAAACACGGATTAATTATTAGTTTAATAACTATAAACTTACACCTAAAGTTTATTATTTTAGGTTATGGAATTCAACATAACCTAAATATTGTGTCGCCATCTATGAAAACAAAGTTTTAATATAAAAATGAAAATTATGTTTGGAAAATCAGTTTCAAGCGTTTATTTTGGGTGTAATTGTGTTAGAAATATTTTATTATTGTTAACTTGTTGAAAGTTTACAGTAAAACGATAGAATGTATGTCGTTACAATCGAAAACAATCGCTTTAACGATTATGACATAAAAGAAGAGAAACATTTACGATCACTCATGTAGAATTCTTTTCTTTTTGTGTGTGCAGTTGGAGGTTGAGTCGCCGAACGTAAAATTTCCCATCCGCAAAATTTACCGCTTATGAGCATGTGCATGTTTATAAAAACTAACGCGTGTATAAAAACGTAATGATAATAACAATATAAACGGGCGGTCGCTTTGCGGTGCTGTATTTTCTGTGTATATTCCTCCACCTTGAAACAAAAATGCCGCGCATGAAATACACGACTGTTTCGCTGTGTGTAGGCGCAATTTATAGGCGAGAAAAATTGATTCTGTGCGCGGGGCGCGCGCGCTACGAATGCCGAGACTCGCTAATATTCAAACGCGTTATTTTTATAGTCTGCGTTTTATTATCGCGGGCGCAGGGCGAAAAATGCCACGACGCGGGTGCCCTTCGCTGCGAGGGCGGCTACGATTGCTTCTGCAATTTGTTATAGTGTAATTCTGCGGTGGAGTTATTTATTTCGGTGCCATTTACTCCGCAGCGCTTCACTGGGAAAGATACAAGACAAAAGCGTTGAATGGCGAATGGTTTGCATTCCAGGGATTTTTATTTTTGTGGCGAATGTGGAATTTTGTTACAAAATAACGTAGAAAATTCAAATGTATAATAACTATTAATTTGAAGTATTGGAAATGTGAATTTTCATGTTTTTGTTTGTTTGTTACGGATTTACGTCTAAACCAATCAACCAATTTTGATAAATTTTAGAATGGAAATAGTTTTGGCCATGAAAAAGACAATAGCATAATTTTTATTGCAAAAAATTAACTATAAAAGTGTTAAATAAGGGATAAAACTTGCTATTGTTGTTTAATCATAGTTTTAGTAATATAATTTGATTCTAGATGGCGATAAAATACATTAATACCTTTTTTTATTTTTTTAAACTAAAAATTAATAATGTATTCACGGATTTGCAAAATAATCTTCTATTTACTCATGATAAACTGCATTTTGTTGACCTTTAAACCCCCCCATGACACTTCTCTCTCTATTTTAATAAAACCTTAGTATTTTCGGACCGTTTTAAGACTGCAGAGCGTCATGCCCGTCGTCTGCGACATCCTCACATCCATATATTGAAAATATCGACTCGAGCTGTCATAAACTCTTGTCTCGAGCGCCGAATGTCGCCGATATTATAGCGCTCTGTGCGACACTCACGACGCCGCTTTCGGCTGGTGTGACACATCGAAACGATATATGCGCTGTATCAATCGCTCAAAAAAGAAGCGGCGCTCATCCTCGACTTCGTCCTCGATTTCATCGTCGTCTCCGGCGGCGTTGTGTACACACGCGCGCAATCGATATGAATAAAGCAATAATATCGAGGCGACCGGATAGCGAATAGATTCGGGCGGATAGCTGCGAGTACGAGCAGAGCGCTTATTTTGAGAGAGATATATGAAGATGGTGGCGGGCGGCGGCAAGACAACGAGGCGATCACTCCGACGCGACACGCGATGCCTTGAGAATTCAATAAGTCTTATTGCGAGAAGTGAAACCGTACGAAACGCAGGGAATCAAGATCGACGGGCATTTGTGAATGTCTTTTTGAATTCACTACCAAAAAATATTGTTAAATATAATTTTTAGGTTAGAAAATGTAAAATTTTATTTTTTATCAATAGATGGCGTTACTTACTTCGCCTGGAAATGAATATCCTTGAATGTGATGTTCAGATCCTTGCCGATTTTCAATACCGTAATGTATGTAGATTTCTTCAAACTGATAACGATACGCCAAAGGACCTCCGGAGATATTCACGTGTTGTTTGGTGTCTTTATCCACCCGGAAAACTAGTGACTGTCCTGTGTTGTGCAGCATTCCGCTGACCTGAAAATACAAAAATAAAATTTTTATATTTTTATGCTTTTTATCATCTCTTTACGTCAAATATATAATTTAAATAAATCGTTCTGTTTGTACTGCTAATGTTTGAGCGCTTTAAAGTAATGCAGAACGCGACTTCTTCCGGTTTTCCTGTCTTGTCGGGTATAGAAATGTTTTCTTCTCTCTTGCTTCTCCTTGTGGTGTGATGTCTGATGTCAAATTGAATAAAGAAATTCAATATCTATTTACTTTCGTTGGGTGGAAGGCGGGCTGGCAAGCGTTTGATGTGCGACGGCGGTAATGGTATGACGGTGGCGGCGGCGGCAGGCTGAATCGTACAGCCGATGATTTATCGTCGGTCGCCTCCTCTCCACCGGCATCGCTTAATGTTGTTGTTGTGCCTTTCTCTATAGAATTATTATTAGTCGTGTTGTGTGCGGCTGGGGGCGGCAAGCAGGCGGCAGGAAATGGGAAGTTCCTCGAACGGCGCGTTCGGTCATCCATCATTCAATCAAGGCGCCGCTACCGCCGCCACCGTCGAGAGATAATAAAATAAATCCTGATTATCTGCAATCAAAGCAAAGCGAACACGACTATACATCCTATGATAGGGTGAAGGATAACAATACGGAAGGACTAAGATGGAAGATGAGTAATAAGTAATGCAATCATTTATTATATCAATAAATAGACACCAATTGAATAAAATTTAATTTTTAGCATTTTTTTTTAAGTAAAATAATTTTTTTGAGTTAAAAATCAAAATTTTAGATTTTCATTGTTTTTACATACAGAAATGTTATGATATCATTAAAAGGATAACATAATATATACGCAAAATCTGAAAATGTTATTCTTAGAGGTCTCGTTCTGCACATAGAATAACACTCCCACTCGGCGCTGTTCTTTGCTCTCTTGAAACCCTCTTATCCTGGATCTAATCGTCCTGTTAATTTTCGTCATGTTGCAGTTTTATTGAGATTTAATTAAGTAATGTATACATTTATAATTAAAAATAAATATAACCCTTTTTATACATTTGTAAAAGGTTTAAATTTCTATGTAATGTGTAATTCTAACCTTAAAATTATTTAATTTGTAACTAACCTTGTGTTTATCCAGATGAATGTGTCTTAAAAAAGGATCAAAAAGTAGTTTGTCTGGTTCCACATTTATTGGACTCTGGCGGCGTCCTTTGGAACACATGTTCCATTGGGGATTCATTAGGCCCCAATATCCTGGACCTGAAAATAATAAATAAATTTTATTAATTATTTTTTTTATTAATTAATGAAATTGCAGATTGACATTTTGCAATATTGGGGTTGTAGGAATTTTATTATTGATAAATATTTTAGTTTTTTGACAAGTTTTATTTAATTAATTGACAGTTTGTTAAACGTAAAACCGGAAAACCGGAAAATCAGTAAAAGTATTGAACCGGAAAGTTAATTTCAATAAATAGTGAAAACTTTATTTGCGTTTATTTTTTGAATTTTTTTATATTTTTGGTTTTAATAACACAAAGTGTTCGGAACTAATACCGCATCTCCAACATACAGACATTTTTACTGACTGGAAGTATATTTCCAAGTCTTATGCTAATATATATCTATATCAATTTCTATCAAACCATGAACATGTGGAATGTGGAATGTGAAATGTAAATGTGAAATTTACTCCTTGAGCAGACAAGTTGAAAAAACGCAGGATTCACGCCATCGAGGGGCGGATTACATTGAGTTTCGAGCATCGTTATCTACGATTATACATCCACCTACTTTCTCACCCAGTCGAATTTAACCCGCGGGCCTCGATTAGTTTAGTACCCGTTTTGCGGCTGCATTCGTCTTGCAGGAACTGCAGGAACGCCACTAAAGTAAATTACATTCACCCTCTAATGCATAAAATATATTACGATGTAAGAATTATTTCTAAATCACCTTCAAAATATATTTTTTTTACTTCCATCTATAAAGTGTCAGTTTTTCCACGGTTTTAAGACACAAAAAGTAGTACTTTATATATGGGAGGCCAAGCCGTGCGTAATATTCATTATTTACGGGTATTATTTACGAGACGGAGCTTGCGCCTGCGCATTGACCTACGGAGCAGCACAAAATCGTATAAAATGCAATGCGACGTCAGTAAAACATGTCAAAACAGAACGTTACTAAACGTTTTTAAACACTTGATTATTAAAACACTCGGTACACTCACTCACAATCAATCTCATGAGTAAAGTCCTCGTTTAGCCACTTGATATTTAATATACAATTCCAGTTTTAATTTTATAATAATATTTATTTTTCCCATAATGTTCACTAATGGATGCGGTCGACAGCACCGGAAGCTCATTTTAATTCAAATGCTGTGGTGACACAATAAATACAATTGTCCTGCGCATGCGTTGTGTAATTTTTCCACCGACTATATTCCAATCAGCACTCAACAATTCGACAACCGTCCGTGATGCGCTTAACCGTCCAGCGCTCATTAATAAAACATAATTAACATACGCCGCGTATGCATCGAGCGATTGCGGTCAGGACTTCATTTCCATCTCTGCATCCCCCGTCCATCTCGATGTTTGCATAGCGGATGTCAATACGTCCATAATTTTGAAATATCGAGAAGTAATTCATTAATTTAATAGCAATTTATCAATTAAACGCCGGCGGTGGCGGCGGCGCTGGCAGGAAACAAGCGCGTTGACATTAATAAAACCACCCCTCTCTTTTCGCGTTTCGTTGCTGAGATTCGACGCATAATTAATCACTCAATTTCAATTTAGATTTTGATGCCGCGTATAACAACCACAAATATTACCCTGCCGTTGAATAATTGGATATTAAATGTTGACAATTTTAATTTAAATTCGACTAATTAATTAATTAATTCATTAATTATGAACGAGTATTTAATTATGTGTGACTTTTAATAATTTTAACAATTTAATTTTTTGCTTGGTTTTATTTTTATCCGAGGAAAATTTACGAATCCATATTAGTTCGAAGCAATTAAATTCATCCCTCGAAGACGTGAGTGTTAGCGGAGGGTGGGCTGTGAATCCGGACAAGATTCGCCGCCGCGCGTGCTGTAATTGTAGCCGAAAGGGTATTGCAATAATTAATTGCTTTCTATTAGCCGGCCGCGTCGATGTGTGAATCTACGAGCCGGGCGAGTTCCGCAAGGGATGAAATTTCCTCATCCTCACTCACTCGTTCAACACACTCAACAATGTTGCGGTGCGAAACTTATTTTAACGAAACAAAAGCGCGGATTCAGATTGAAATTGAGATGAATTAATTTCAACCGATATCAATTCGGAAGAGGAGGGCTTTCAAGCTTTCAGAAAGCTCTTATGTTTATTATTGATATTAATATGTAATATTTTATTGAAATATATATTTTAGAGCTTTTTAGTTACGTTTTAGTAGAGCGAGTTTTAAAGCTTTTCAAAGCTTTTCAATAGTTTCAAAGCACATATTCAATATGTGCTTATAGTAATACTTGAAAATTAATATTTTTAATATTTTTAATTATATGTGAAATTATTTTAGGTTTATATGCTTTAAAAAGCTCTAAAAAGCTTTGAAAAGCTTTGAAAAGCTCAAATTTTCAAAAATAATATTTATTTTTTTAATTTAAGTTAGTTATTATATTTTAAATTAAATATCAATTTATTGGAGCTTTTAAAGCTTAGAAAAGCAGTCAAAAGCTCTGAAAAGCTAAAATATTTATTTATACAATAAATTATTTCTAAAAATAAAATAATAGTAATTTGGTAATTGTTTTCGTCCTTGTTATCTCGTCCTTTTTTCGTCCTATTACGCTAACAAGAAACCAACATCCGACTTTCAAGGACTTTTTTTAGTTTTCTTCTTTTTTTGCTTTCCTACTTTTCCCTGGTCGCTATTTACAACACTATAACTGCCACTACCAATGTACTCCTTGCATCGTCCTGCCAAAGTCCTGGTTTTATCCCTCGGATAAGGCAAGAGAGAGTTGCGCCCGCGTCGATATAAATTTGTATAACTCGGCGTAACGGATGATCGGAATTCGGTCGGAAGCGACGTTGTTTCTGCAAGGAGCGCAGGACGAGCGAGAGGACGAACGGTAAACGTGTTACAGTTCGAGGAAAATTGTCTGCTTCAATTTGAATCTAACGCCGGCGGAACAATTGGAATTGATCGTGTCTGGTTTATGTTTTGCGGGCGTGCGCCACTCGTGATATTCTGATTTCCGGTTTTGGATTTATTTACGTTGGACAATAAGTTTAATTAATGAAACCACAAATCAACAAATATATTAACAAAAATATTTTAAATTAAAAAAAATATTTTTTACTTTTTAAGGATTATAAATTTTCCGGAAGTAAACATCGCGTCCCATTATCACGGTTGAGGTTATGCGGCACTCGATGCCCAAAGTTCTTCCCAGAATTTCGCTTTCTTCGAAGAAAATCGAGCCAGTCAGGAAGAGCGTGCCGCTTGGCCGCGAGGTGAGAGGCGGCACGCCTCACAGGATTTTATTACGTACGACGGCGGCAACGACGGCAGCGGCCGACCTAACCGGCGGCGGCACGTTTCGTAATTAAGATAAACAGCGCACCAAGCGTCGGCGGCGGCTAGAGATGAACATCAAGATGAACACGAAATGTTACACTAACAGCCTCCAAACAAAAAGCGCCTAAATGACAAAAAATCATTAACCGGAAAAAAGTTTAAACCGCTGAAAATCATAATTTATAATTCACACTTTATTTATAATTCAGTCAACAGCGAAATGCACTAAAAATATACAAAACCCAAAACACCGGAAAACCGGAAATAACAAAACAAAATTCAAATTTCACACCTAATAAATAATTCGTAATTTGTTTTCGGGTAGTTTTTTGTATGTGCAGTTTGTGATGGAATAAAAATAAAAGTAACAATTGCCTTTTTTTAAGGTTTTCAAGTGTCGTTGGTTGGAGGTGACCAAGTCGCGCCGCATGTTATTGCGTTTCGGCGGGTTTTCGGGACGCATCCGGTGCCGCCTCATCCAATATGCATAAACACACGGCGCGCCACGACACACGCTGCCTTCACAGCCGCCCCACGCCATCGTCCGGTGTTCATGCATTATTCGACTCACAGTCGTCATCCGCGCCGGCCCGAAACCGGCAATGAATCCTACGTTACGGAATTTAAGATCAACATTCGGACAACAGCTGGCAAAATTTAAATTTGGTTTCACTATTTATTCAATTGGGAATAGCAGGAAGAGAAATAACCATGAGATAAATTTGAAACGCATAAAAACGTGTTTTACTACTACCGCCATCTATTTATAGAAAGTTCATATGTTTGATTTGTATGCAAAACTCGTAGGCAATACTTTTAAGACGTCGGAATCCTTGCAGCAACCAGTAAAGCCTTGGAATTCCGTGTAATACTGCGATATCGATATATTTATGCATTGCGAGTGGATTAGATGGATCCGAGCGATTTGCCTGTTAAATATTTCATGCATCACTGCACGATTGCCAACTTTTTTTAACATTTCAGCAATTTTTCATGAATCTAATAGACATTTTTGCTGCGTTGAATTTTGATTTAGCTAAGAATTGCATCTAAATAAATGTGAAGGCGCCGGGCGTTACGTATGCGTTTTAATGCATCGCAGCAGAATGGAACACGTTTTATAAGGGTTGCGCGCGAGATTGAAAAAGCAACCACCATATGCATAATCCATCGCCTGGGTTTTCGCGAGCCCTATCTTAAGATTACATCGGTAAATATCTTATGGGCAATTTTCACTTTTCCGACGTTTCTTTTACGTTTGCCTGCGTTTTCTTCCAGTTTCCTGGCGTTCACTAGCGCAGCAGGAATTTACCTTCATGCTTGTAGTTAAATTCGGATACGTACGCGTTTCGATCCAATTTTTATAGGGGTTGATACAGAGTGAAAAGAATAAAAATTTTATTTTAACTTTAAAATTCGATAAAAATTAAATTAAACTCTTTTTAGGTTTTTTATTTTAGTGGAAGGTATTTTGAGGTTAAAAATTAACTAAAATAATTCTCATATTTTTCAAATATATATATTCTGTTGCTTTTTATTGTAAAATAAAAAAATATCAAAAAATTTTCAAAATACTTTTTTACTTAAATAATCGCAATTATTTACTTTTTATCAACTCTTAGTATACCCTCCACTAAATTCGGAATTCTCATGCAATTCCTTGCTGCCGAGTTAGG